TTTCATGAACGAACTAAACACATTGAAATTGACTGTCATTTCGTTCGTGAGAAGATTCAGCAATGTTTGATCTCTACAGGGTACGTGAGAATAGGAGAACAATTGGGAGATATATTCACAAAGGCTTTGAATGAGGTTCAGGTTGATTATCTTTGTAATAAGTTGGGCATGATAAACATGTATGCTCTAGCTTGAGGGGGAGTGTTACAGATTATATTTCTAGAATAGGAAATAAGTATATTTGATTCTAATTTATAGGGATTTGACATAATTAGTTCCTTCCTAATATAGGATTTGTACCTTGTATATATACCTAAGAGATTGATGAATACAAAAGAGAGATTATTTCGTTCCTCTCAAATTTACATCTTGTGTCGGATATAAGACTTCTAAGATAAGAAAATAAATTTATATCCGACACAAGATGCCTAAAGCGAAAAAAGATGTAAAGAGGCTAAAATGCTAAAATTTTCTTCTAAATTTTGATGTACTATTTTTTAGCATTTGTTAAAACATTCTAATTAGAATCATAAGCATGCCTATTCAATGAAATTTTGACAATTTTCTTTTATTGTTGTGCATAAAAACTGAAGGGATAAGCTACTAGTTTCTTGGTACAATTAAATTTGAGGATAAAAGCAGGCCTGATTAGTGATTAGCACTGCTGCTTATTCATCATCTCCTTATGCCTCTAGATTATGGATTCTGGTTTAAGTTTCCCCTTCTAGCAAGTCCAGGGAAAACTAATATCCCTTGTTTCTTAACTTTCTTTTTTTGGAAACATTGTTTCTAACATTCTAGTTGCTTTTAGCTCATCTACCCTCAGCTTCAGATTGGTTGTTGCTGCATAAAGTGATGTACTTCTGAGCATTTCTTTTGCTGCAGTAGTTACATACATGTCATTGTTCTGTTCTGCCCTTTAAAGACATTAGTTTGATCGTTGTTTTGTTTTGTTTTGTTCTAATTATATTTATGTTCTTCTGATATCTTTTAATCAGATTATGGTAGATCATATTATGATGTCCTTCAAGGTGTGGAGCATATACTAGAGAATTTTAGTCGGGACCAGATTTCAGCACCATCCAACTTCAAATATTTGATTGCACTTGAAAAGCAGGTGATTCGATGAATCTTGTGAACTGTTCTTATTGCATAATTATTGTGTGGAACCAATTATAGGACAGTGCTAAGAAGGATTGCTCAGATATTGAATCTTGTCTCGTGTCATTCTTAGCTTGCTGTTGACTTGCATGCTCACTAGAAAACAAAGGGGTTATCATTTGCTTTACTGGATGAGAAAACCTTTTGTTGCCAAATATAAATGGTGGAGCACATCTGTCATACACTAATTGCTAAATACTTTTTTATATTTTAGGCTGTCCCTAACAATGTTCTGTGCTTTTGGTCCTGCTGTTTGAAAATAATAAGAGCTTTCTACCCTTTGGTACTAGAGCATAGATTTTTAATTTCGGTGGAAAATTGATTCGATATGAGCCTTTTTCATTTTGAGAGTATTTGAACCGTAGTGTTCTAACCCATAAAAAAATGTAATAGTTCTCATCTTCCAAATCTTTTGTCCATGATTGCTTAACTGGAAAATGTGAAAAGAAGCATATATATATGACGTCACGAATTTTATGTAAAAATTTGCAATTATGTTTAAGTGATATTTTCTTGTAACAGTTGACTTCAACCATGTTGCATATGCTTGGCCTGGCTTCAAGAACTGATCATCAAGCTGTACAAGATTTTCTTGTCAAAGTAAGATCAACAGATGAAAGCAACCATTAGAAATGTTTTTTATTGTGAATATCTGCTGTGACTATATTTAATATACTGCCCAGTTTATATTGATATGTGTAATTCTCTTGATCAAATTTGTATATCTTTGTCCTCAATATAGTATTTATATCAAGCTTCCTTTCTTTTCCTTTGATATAGAAAGCATCATTTCTCGTGGAGTGGCTTAAAGGGTTGTGCTCATCTCTTGAAGAGACAAGTTCTTCAGCTGAGGAGACTACATCTGTTGCATCTGTAAACCTTAAAAAGGATGTTATATCCATAACGGTTCGCTCACTGATTGAGGTGTATGAAATCAGCAATCACAATTCGGTTGCACAAAGGTTTGGCAGATTGGCTAATGGCCTGCTGTGAATTTCCGGCTTTATCCCTTTCGTGATTCCCATTTGTTGTATAAAAAGGTCAACAGTCGAGCATGAGGTTTCTACATTTCTGGGTTTAACGGGTTTTACGGTTTTCTTCAAAACTTTTGCTAGTGGCTACACTTGTGGTGTCTCATGGATCAATGGGGGCATCAAATGGTCGCTACATGACGAGGCAGTGTCTTGGAATTTTGGTTATACGTATGATTAATGTTGTATATAGTCAGATTANNNNATTAATGTTGTATATAGTCAGATTACCGATGGTATGGAAAATTCGAAACGTCTCTGTTTTATTTTTGTATTTTTTTGGGAGGAAATCTATTTTGCCTAAGCTGTTCACAAATTGGAACTTTCCACGTGACTTTTCCGAGACTGTCTTGGAGATTACCGAAACATAATGCTACTATGCAAGAAAATGAAGTAAATTTATCACAAATTTAGGCTGCGTAGGAGGCTTACAATGGCTACATTTCATTTAATCAGTGTTCTAAAGTATAAATCGTGGTTAGACATGTAGTTCAAGATTTAAGCTTTACGAGTCTAGGTAAAAAAGCGTTATTTTTATTATAAGTACTTGATTATTCTGAAAATCGTTTAATAATTAAAAAAAATATTAAACATCCAAAATTATAAAATATTATATTTACTTAACAATTCCTATAATTAGTTAATATATAATTTTCGAAATGTAAAAGTTGGATTATTTGTCTAATTAAACGACTTTTGCTTAATAAATTTTGAGGAATTTCTTATAGAATTATGGTGCTATTATATAAAAATGGTATATAAAGAAATATAAAATGACGTAGAGGGAAAAGAATTGGTGAAAGTTTACTGTATTTTAAAATGGCAATTGGTAGAGTACCACGTGGAATTATGTAATTCTTTATGTGTACATGTAGCAAGACTCTTTCAATAATATAAATAACACCGTAATTTAAATTTTATTTATATCTTTGTTAGATAAAGTCCTTGCTTTTCTTTTTTTTTTTTTTTAAACTTTTGTACAGATGAAGTAATTTAAAAATTTCAAACTAAAATCAAATAAAACCCTTTCTAAAAAAAGGAAAAAATAAAAAATAAAAAAGTTAATAATCTAAAATCAAATAAAATATTTTAAAAACAGGAAAAAATAAAAAGATTTAAAAAAATTAATAAAGCATGACTTGATAATAAGGTGCGTTTAGGCGCACATTAAGCGGTCAACTGCAAAGTTAAACAAATTAATTCGCGTTTACTGTCAAGGCAAGATGTTTTGTTGAAATTTAATTCATAACTGCATTTTAGCAGTTGACCGTTTAATTCCCTTATACTGTTAAGACATATTTTGTTGGAATATAATTCATTAAAGAACACAGCATTTAAGTCCTAAAAGGAAAAAAAAAAAAAAAAAATTAATGGACTATGAAGCTATTCATAAAAGAAAAGAATTTACAGACTATAAAGCTTATACAGTGAACAGTACACCTATAAATTTTAAATTTTGTGTGTTTTAAGGAGATTATAATGAGATGAGCACTGAGTTTCGTGAATTTGTTAATTTGAATTATTGGCTTCAGGAACAGAATTACAACAAAACAAAACAATAATATAAAGTACAAAAATGAACTTTTAACCCGAGACCTGTGAAAACACAGTTTCCTTAAAAAAGATTTGCTCATTCACCGTATGTGCTTGAGGTTTAAAATGAGCGTCTATTTCCCACGATACAACTGAAGAGCGGTCGAGTCTGAACACCACAGAAGCTACTCCGACGAATTGAGTTAGAGCTCGAACAATATCACCACCAGACTCAAACAAAAACGAAAACAGAGACAAAACTTGAATTGTATGCAGATGAATTCTTGTACTGAGACAAAGCCTATTGCTTATCCTCCATCTTTACGGGCGTCACTGTCGCATCATAGGAATTGAGGTAATATCACATACAGTGATTCTATCAAGTATTTACAATTAGGTTGTCCCTTTGAACCTAGATCTTGGGATCTCC